ACAGCGTGGGTGGCGGGATCGGTGCGAACGGGACGTGTGCGGGAAGGGTCGGTCAAACCTGATCCGCTTCTCGCTCCCCTTTTCCAGATCTTCGAATACGGGCGCCTGAGCCACTTCATAGACGGGAAGGGCGCCTCTGGCAACTGGATGTCCCTGGTGAACTGCGCCAGGTTCCCCGAGGAGCAGAATTTGACGGCCATCCAGTGCCAGGGGCAAATCTTCTACGAGAGCTGCAAGGAAATCCTGCCGAAGCAGGAGCTGCTGGTGTGGTACGGCGATTGCTACGTGCAGTTCCTGGGCATCCCCATCAGCCTCAAGGGCATGCCGGAGGGGAAGAGGCCCCCGCAGCACCCCGAAGGTGAGCCTGCCAGCGACCCCCCGAGGGGCACGGCCCCTTATTCCCATGGACCCGTCTCTGGCCGGGGTTAGATTCGCGTTAAGGGAGGTAAGGGAACTCGTTAGTGCCGCTGATAACGTACAGAAAGGGTGACGTTCTTCTAAGCAAAACTTAACGTATGGAGAAAACGGATTTGTGCCAGTGCAGGGAGAGCTGGAGCGGGCGAGGAGTGGGTCGGCTGCGTGCAGGAGGGAGGGAGGGAAGCGTTTGCAAATTGGCGTGGAAATTTTTGTAGCTGTTGTCCTCAGGTGTCTGGTTCAGATAGCTAGTAAATCGTTCATTTCGTTTTAAGGCTTATGCCAAAGTTACTTTTATTAAAGGCAGAAAAGGATGTGTAAAGGTTTAAAAAATTCCCTGTGTTGTTCCTAAATTCAGCGGTTAAGAACAGTTTGAAATGCAAAAGAAAACCAAATAAACGTGTTTTTATGCGATAGTATTTTGAAAACGATAGAAAAGACGTGCAAATTTATTTTTCTTTCTGTGATGGGAGGCAAAATTTACGGACAATATTGATAATAAATACCTGGCAATGTTTCCGCGTGGGGAGATGCTTTCATGTGGGACTCCGCGTCAGTTTTTCATGTGTTCGCTCGCTGTTGGTGGGGATACAAGGACGAAATCCTGTCTTTGCTGAAGCCAGTAGTTAAAACCAGTAATTTTCTGCGGCTGTGGACTCTGGTTTGTTCCCCTCCGTTAGAAAGGCAACAGAAAGCCAAGCGGAGCCGTGTGTGCGCTTAAGAGATCCGCCGTGTATTTTGTTACTTAGATTGCCAGAAGCCGTTTACCATTCTCACACTCCCGGAGACTTAAAATTCCCAGTTGGGTCCCAGCTCTGACAAGGAAAGAGATCTGAAAAATGAGCCCCTTTTGCTGTGATGTAACGGAGAGGTGGCACTTTCCCTTCTGCTGTACAGAAGCCGGGGAGAGCTTTAAGTGTGAGCGCTGCGGCAAGGTTTTTGCCTACAAGTACTACCGGGACAAGCACCTCAAGTACACTCGCTGCGTGGACCAGGGGGACCGCAAATTTCCTTGTCACCTTTGTAACCGATCCTTTGAAAAAAGAGACAGGCTGAGGATCCATATTCTCCACGTTCACGAAAAGCACAGACCTCACAAGGTGAGCCTGCTCCTGGGTCCCTCTGCAGCCACTGGCTCTTCTGGATGTTTGCATGTGGGGTTCGGCTACTTTTCTTACACAGTGTGGGGCTAAATTGTGTTTGAAGGTTGGTCCACTTGGCCAGGATCGGGAGAGGTGATGTCTCATCTCCCTCGCTCCCCCCTTCAGCCTGAGAACAGAAAGACATCTGTGTCCGCTGGACACAACAGGCGTTAGAAAGTTTTACAGTCAAGGTGGAGCAGATTTTCAATTGACGGAAGCAAATCCTTGCTGACATACTTGCCTCATCTCCACTAAAACGCCTCTCTGCAGCACTGGGAGGGGAAAATCGGACTTTCCCCTATAGGCTTGGGGAGGGTGAGTTCCAGTGCTTGAAATGGCACAGTTAAATCGGTCCTGAAAATCCTCCAAATACCTCTTTTATAGATCGTCCTGCAGTAATGTGAATTTCTCAGGAAAAGCTTTTATAACTAAGCCAGCAATATTGCAATGTCAGACTATCACACCGATTTAGTAACAGACGAAAAATATGATTTTATTAAATATGAGGCATTAAATATCGTGTAATTCTTCCTCTCTTTCTTTCCTTTCCTAGAGCATTTATTTTGGAATGGTTATGAAATAAATACTTTCGAAGAGCAGGAAGACAAATTTGTTCTGACTATACTGCATTTATATCGGAACAGATAACTCAAAAAGCAAAGATGGAAAATGTGTCAGTAGCAAAAAATGCTTTCTTTCAAGATCTGTCATAGCTCAGTTTATTTTGAACTTCTGAAAGATGATTTCTTTCAAATTATTGTAGGGGGAAAATTATTTCAGGGCTCATACAAATTGCACTGAGTCAGTGCGAGTCTCTCAAGTGACTCCAGCCCCTCTGAACTGGATTTTGGGCTGGAGGATGAAGCGCTGCTTGTCTCAATCCTCTAAGGAGAGGCACTTCTGACAGATCAAGCTGTAGGCTAGGTGCTGTGACTGACTCACCATTTCTGAAAAATGGTTATTATTTTAAAAAGTCCCCTTAAGATTAATTTTTTTTTTTAAGGAAGTTCATCTGTTGAGCGAAAATTGAAAAATAGCAGCTGGAACTTGATTTACATTTTGAAGAAAAGTGATGATTTTACAGAAATTTTCAGATTTTGATTACTGAAAGTCAATATTTTCTGTTCGCATGTTCTGAAAAAGGATGTTTTTTAATGAAACCATTTTGGCCACATACCAAAAAAAGCTCTGAAATTTTGCATGATTTTCCTTCTTAAAAAAAAAAAATGTTCTTAAAACCAGATTAAAATTCTGAATGTACTTCAAATTGTTACTACTATAATTACTGCTGTTTGTATATACATATATTTATATATCCATAAATATATGTGTATACATAAATAAATACATAAATATTAGTAGGAAAATACATGCACACATTATGTACATACCTCAGTTTTCTTTCCAGCTATGTCTCTGTGTGCTTCCTTTTAACTTTACACCAACATCCTTTTTTTTTTTTTCTTAGTGCTCAGTGTGTGGGAAGAGCTTTTCTCAGTCTTCCAGCCTGAACAAACACATGAGGGTTCACTCCGGGGAGCGCCCCTACAAATGTGTCTACTGCAACAAGGTAAGCCGAAGCCCCATCCCGTCCCTCCGTCTGTCCTCCGTAGCGCTCAGCATCACACCGCACCTGGGGGTGGTGGCTCTTTCCACGCTCCGTTTTCTTTTTTCAATTTTTCTGTTTTCTGTCAAGAAAATGCCTTCTATTTAAGCTGATAACCAGGTAAGTGAGTGTATATTCTGGGCATAGTTGTGAGTTGGAGTGGCAGGGCTGGCTGAGACTGAAGAAACAAGGTCTGGTCTCCATCTGATGTGGAATTTGTGTTTTGTCCCCGTTCAGAGAGCTGCTGCGGGGATAAGGTCTAGGAAAGCTTGAGAGCATTTCAAATACCAGCTAAGGTGTGCAGCTAGATCCAATATTCCCCTTTTTCATCACATAATAGGCAGTTTTTGATACTGCTGACACTGCTTCTGGAGTGAGGTGAACAGATTTGACCCATAAGCTGAACCTGCATGACAGGACTTTGTGCATGCTTACCTTGAAGTAACGGGGCGATTGATGGGCATGGAGGTTTCATTTCAAAAAGAACAGGATTAAAGCCATACAGCACTGATCAAAGATGTGCTTGGCTGTTACTACTCTCCACAGAAGGGATGATCCAGGTGGGCTCTCCCTGTGAGAGCAGTGGCAGCTCTCCCAGCAGACGGAGGGTGGGTGTCCAGGCTGCTGCTGGATGAATATCAGCAGGGCTCCAGGTGCTATGGAGGGTCCGTGCAATGCAGAAGCACCGTCTGCATGTAGTAAGGTGCTCGTGATTTTGGAAAGAGAGATGTTTTGTTTGACTGGCCCGACTAACACAGAGCTGAAGTGTCCTATAATAAAGAACCTTAGAAGAAGCTCCTTTAGGCTGTGATATTTTTTTCCCTCCCCCAGAGATACTGAGCACTTGTAGGCAGAGTTTAGGATGAAAAGTTATCCTTTAATCTTCCAGGCAGAGCTTTACAGGTTGCTCTGTCAACAGATCTCCAGGACACATGGGACCCTTGACCAGCCCCCAGCTGTTCTGGTAGGATTGGATCAGATTTAATCCATTAGTCTTCAGGCTGCAGGGTGCAGTTATCCTGGGACATAGCCATCATTTCTGTGACTGGGAACCAGGGGCTATTTTAAAGCATCCTCACCTGCTCCTGTGCAGTCACGATTCCTCTTTGCCTCTTCTACCTCTAATGGTGGCTGTGCTCCAGGGTAGCTTTGCTTTCCCTGCCTCTTTGCTCACTGTCTCAGTGACATCATGAGATTAAAGGAAAATTGTTGGGCCAAGATCACCATTTTGGCCCTCAAACACACTTTGTCCCTCTTGATACACACTTCCAGGGACTTTTCTATAGGAATCTCAGATCTGTTTTTGCTCTGAGGTTCCTGGTGAAAAGATATCCGAGATGTATTGCTCTTTGCTGTGAAAATTTACTTGTGATGGTTCAGCAACATAACAGTACTAAAGAGGATTTTTTGTGTGTGTGTGGTCTGTAAATAACGACGGGCCTGAAAGTGTCTCTTGGGAAAATTAAAAATGGGGAAAACATGGGCAACTTTGTGACAAAAAAAAAAGCCTTGGCAAGAGGGTTTTCTCCCCAAATGAAGGATGAGTTGTTACGAGGCGGACAAAGTGTGACTGTGCTCACTTTGCTACTGGGGGGGTGGGAGTGGAACAACCTGGAAGGTCTGACTGAAGGAGGAGCAGAATATGATGGAGCGTGGAAATGAAACCCCAAAAGATGGGTGCTGGACTGCATGGGTGAATTCTGGCAGCTGACTCCCAAGCCAGTGTATATGAACATGAAAGAGTTTAACTTTGAAAGGAAAACCTGCATTATGTTTCCCAAACGTAAAGGAGCTGCAGAGATAATTAAGACAGTATTGACTTCTTACCCTTTGACATGTAGAAGATACTTACCGGTGCCTCTGGTCAGAAATCTTTCTCTGAGCTTCATCTAACTCCATGGCCTCGGCCATAGTGTGTAGCTGAGTGTGATAGCTGTTGGCTTCTGATTCCTCATTGCTGGGAGTTTTTTGTTTTTTCTCCGATTATCTGAGGATGCGAAGTATTCGAGGACTTACTTTCTGGGTGCTTCTGAGCGGGTCTGTGTTAGCTGACGCTGGGGTTTTATATGTGAAAATAGAGTACTTCAAACTCCTTCTCCCCTCTTTTCAACACCTGCCCTTTCAGGCGTTCACGGCATCCAGCATCCTGCGCACTCACCTGAGGATGTGAAGTATTCGAGGACTTACTTTCTGGGTACAGTGCTTCTGAGCGGGTCTGCGTTAGCTGACGCTGGGGTTTTATATGTGAAAATAGAGTACTTCAAACTCCTTCTCCCCTCTTTTCAATCCCTGCCCTTTCAGGCATTCACGGCATCCAGCATCCTGCGCACTCACATCCGCCAGCACTCGGGGGAGAAGCCCTTCAAGTGCAAGCACTGCGGCAAAGCCTTCGCCTCGCACGCAGCCCACGACAGCCACGTGCGCCGCACGCACAGCAAGGAGAAGGGCTGCACTTGCTCGGTGTGCGGTCAGCACTTCCCGGAGCAGGAGGATTGCCACTTCCACATGAAGATTCACGCCACTCACTAGTCACGAGCCCCACGGACACATCTTGGACCAGCTTTGAGTGTGTGTCAGTCTATGTGCATGTGGTTGTGTGCATGCCGCAGGAGGTGACATTTACCCTCGCAGCAACTCTTTGGGCATGGCCAGCCTCTGGACGCTGGGCATATTTCTGAGTGCAGGGGACAGGAGTTTATCTCGCCCAGGTACCCTGATGCCAAACTGGGGTGAAGTCTAACATGCGCTCCTTTCCCTTCTTCTCCTCCCATATCCTAATTTCCACAAAAGGGAAACACAGGCAGGAGGGAATGTCACCTCCCATCAACCTTTTGTGCATGAATATCAGACATGAGGAGTGTTTCCCTTCCTCTAATGCACCATGGGGTGCCTGCTGCTGTCCATACCAAAGCTTGTGTGAAGGACATTTTTGTCAAGTGCATTTCCCAAAGACCATTTAACCTGTTTGTTTTGTTTGGGTGCATGACCAGGTATGGGGTCTACTTCCTCTTAACCTGCAAGTCTTTTAATGACATTCTATTTGAAAGTGAACTGCCTCAGAGATAGTGACTGGTGGACCAGCATAAGGGTATTTAATTCCTTCATTCTGCTGCTGGGACATGGGGAACTCCAGGGCAGTGAGACACTCTTCCAGAGGACACTGGGCCCTGGTTAGCTGAGGTGGAGAGGGGCAGGGTGGGATGAAATAGCTGCAGGCCTGTCATGCCAGCTAGCAGAGATAGTGGAGGTTGGCTCTGCCTTCTCACAGTTTATAGGACCAAACATGAAGATATTCCCAAGCACCAGTGAGCTCTCGGGTGGGTCACGAACAGCCAAGTGGCCTCGCAGAGCTGTTGGCACAGACCAGGAGCAGGCACAGTCCCACCACTGGGCTCTTCTGACTCCCCAATTTCCCTGAATGACTCTTGTGCTGGCCAGATGGGCCTTCGTGATAACTCCTGGCACGAAGGGTGGACTCCTCCACTTCCTCCTCCTGGCCCTGCATAGGATGGCTACTGTAGAGGCACTCCCTTCCCCTATCCTAAATTTAAGGTTTAAAGTGTAGGCTAGGTGATGCTAGGACTTCCCAACCCCCTAAAACTCTCTGCACATGACATTCCTCCCCAGTCAGCAGGGAATGCCTTTGCCTCCACTGGAGGACTGGAAGGTTTCACCTTGCATTTCTTCTCACTGGCCCTGCAAACAAGTCAGGAGCAATTTGTGCAGGTTTTCTGTTTTCTTTTTTTGGCAAAAGGGAAGAATTTTGTCATGAAAATGCTGGGTGGGGTTTCTATAGAAAGCTGCTCGTTTAAGTACGGATGAGAAGATGTACTCTGGGATCCTTTTCTTGAAAGCTCTGGTTTCATTGCTTTTGACTTGGAGGACAACATCTCAGACACCCCGTCTTTTCATACCAACAAACTTCCGCCCAGACCAAAACTGTCTCAAATGTGTATTACAACAGATAAAGGCATTTCAGTGTAAAATCCTAAGTGATTAGACCCTGGTTTTTGCAACGTATTTTCAAAATAATTAAAAATCCTTAGTGAACAGCATTCCCTGGCAATGTGAAATCTCAACTCAATGGAGGCTTAGCAAAAAGCCTGGGCTGAAGGACCGCTGAGTACAGGGACTGCTGTAACTGGTGCAGAAGCCTCTTATCATTGAGTAGCCAACACATGGGCTGTGCAACTGAGAGGGGCTCCCTGGGTTGGTGGGGCTGTGTGTCACGTCCAGGAGGGATCACGGAAGCCATTTCTGGAGCTGGTTGATTAACACAGACAATTTGATGTTACTGGGATGATGAGGTTTTCTGAATATCCTAGATCAGCTAGGATTGCCAAGGACCTTACATGCAAGTATTGGAGACAAAAAGTTTTTATTTTCTGCCAACTTTAATAATCTCTTTAAATGCAGTGTAGAACTAGAAAAAATGTTATCTGCACATATAATTATATCACGCATCTACTATATCTATAAATATCTATATTGATTTGCACTAATTTTGTATGGTTTATTGTACCTTATGTTGCTCTGTCCTCATTGTTTTCATAGTAAAAATATTAAAAAGTATATTTATAGAACCACTTACTTGAAAGTAAAACACTGAGGCCCAGCACTAGGCAGTATCTGGAATAAGCAAGCCATTAGTATTGTACATACATGTAGGTTTTAGGTTAGAATGAAGATCACATTTTGTTCTGAACTTTTTTACTTATTTTAATATCAAAAATTCCTATAATACAGCAGGCTGAATTTTGTACATACAGAAGGATGAACTGGTGAGCTCTAAATAGGTAGAATTCACTCCTGAGCAGAAAATTATCACAGTATTTATGTCTACAAACGATCCTGAAGTACAAGTCGGGGAACTAAATTTTACTTCCAGCTGCCTGCCTGTATGGTGGTGTAAGCATACAGAATCCTGGCCAACAGAAATGTGAATTCTGTGTGTGAAGGCTTTGCTGGTTCAGTCCCATAAACTACGTAGTAATGAAATAAATGTTATGACTAGGAATGTCTTCAAAGTGCTATGAAATGCATGGTTGGCTTCCCATGCAGGTAATCTTGCTTCTTGTGAATGAAGGTTATTTATTTAAGTGGTGCATCTTCTGTAGTGCTTTTAGCTGAGTGCATTTTATTCTGCCTGAAGAATCCCCAAATATCTTGTATTAAAATATTAGCACCCTTCTACAGTATCGGATGAGTTGCCTGTAAAAGCGTATGTGAAGGGTTTCGCTTGTACTTGTGATTGAAGGTACTAGTTGTCTTGCACATTAAACCTATGTATGTAAATTTTGATGCTACTTATTAAGACTATTACAATGAGATTCATAGAAAGAATGAAAATAAATTATGGGAGGCTGCAGTGTACACTAGTGGGCTATAGGTTTTTTCTGCCCGATGCATTGGAGTTGTATATTTGTGGTACTAGCAAATGGATGAAGGGCATTTTCTGCGTTATTTGTAAGTCATTATAGAGTCAAACTGTCTCTTGCTGGGAACTGTAGTCTTTGTCCTACTGGGTAGCAGCTGAGTGCACTAGAAGTCAAAGGCACTCAGTCTCTTGATGGATTGGGCCATAAGTGTCCCAATAGCTCATGGAAGCTGAGGCCATTCAGTTCTGGATTGAGTTCACTCCCACTTGCAAGCAAGGTGATGGATCCGGATTGAGCACTAAAAAAGGCATTTAACTACCCTACAGCATCAGCCTTTCCCTTCTCAATAGCGAGTCCCAGCTGTGCTGGGGCTGGGGCGCAGTGGGGTGGCACTTGGCCAGCAGCACACTTGGCAGCGGAGTGGGGAGAAATAAAGCAGCGGGGAGCAGCAGGGAGGGCAGGCTGAGCCGCCCTGCCCGCCCGCCGCCGACTTCCTTCAGACTTCCTTCTCCTGCAGGCAAATGCAGTGATCGTCCACGCAAACATAATGCTGGCCTTGCCGGACAGGGTTTAGGGAAGATTAGATTTAGGTTAGCTTTGTGGCATTAGGTACCCCTAGTGACAATGAATGGCCCCGTAGGGTGCATGGACCCTGTGTGCATCCTTTGAGCCGAGGTTTTCCTCCCCAGGGATTTGCACATTGACGTGCACCTTCTGTGGCCGTGCTGCCAGCAGGCTGGTGAAGGAGCAGCTCTGGCTAGCTCAGCCAGCAGCCGGGGGTTCGGCGTTTATACCCACAGCTAAGCGGGGCGGGGGGGCGGCGTGTGTGCGCGCTGCGCTTTCCTCTGGCACGTCCCCGAGATGACCGCGTGGCACGGAAACCCGTGCGCATGAAGGAGGCCGCTCTGTAAGTTCAACTGAAGGGAGAACATGGGTGACTAAGCCGACTGTAAAGATTCAACCATTTCGCTGGGAAGCCCCAGCTGCTACGTCCCTCCTGAGCAGACACCTCGGTACTCCATGCTCCTGCCGGCCATTTCTGAGCTGAGGCTGGAAAGCAGGACATCCCTGTAGCTTTCTCGGGGACCGAGCTGTGGATTTGCATGCTGTACTAGATAGACCTCTCCCATTTCTTGGCGTCATTAAATACAGGAAAGAAGCGACATTTTCCGTAACAGTAACTATAGTAATACACTATGTGCAACAGGTACCCATGCTTCTTACTCGGTTTAGCTTAAACTCGCTGTGGCGTGGCTTCCCTGGCTGGGGACTCTTTCTCACTGCATTCCCCAAGGCAAAGGATTAGAGAAACTGTACCTGACTACTCTGCACCCTGACTCTTCTTTCTCCTAACTAGGATTTAAAATGCTCTTGCCAAGGGGAGCTGCAAGTCATTGGGACGAATCAGCCCACTAAGACACTAGCTGATTTTAAGTGCTTTTGCATTAACCGAGTCCGGGTTTTTTAAATGTTAAATGGAAAGTGATCTAAATAGAAACCAGAGGATGAGGGCAATTTCGGCTTTTTTGTTAGGGTGTGGAGAGGGAGATGAGTCCGCGTGAGGCTAACTCCTGAAAAGCTCCTCCTTGGTGAATGACAATGGCGAGGCACAAACAAAAAGGTGGTCCCAGAGCTCAGGCTGGGGAGTCCGAGGGAACAAAAGGCCTGGCAACCGACATCTGCTGCCTCCGGCATCTCCTCGCATCTCCCCGCTCTTCAAACGCCGGCGCCCCGTCCCCTGCCGCCCAGCCCCTGTCCCGCTGCGCCCCCCGGGGGACGCGGGGGAGAGGGAGGTGGTTAACCACCGAGGGAAGGCGAAAAGCAGCAAGGAGCTTAGTGAATTAAAGATAATGCCGCAAACAAATATTGATTAGTGCCAAACTGTCCATTAAACAAGAGAGATCGTTTACCAAGGGAGCCCTGACTGGCCGTCCTCTCCTTCAGAAAGCCATTTCTCGGGGTTCCCAGTCTCCTACATGCATCCACAGCAAGTGCTGGGGCTTGTTACACCCCTATGGACACAGTCACTGTCACCTCCATTTCCCTTTCTCTCCTCACACATACACGTCCCCTTACACCTTCTTCCTTGTGGCTCTCCTAAATGCACGTAGCGCAGGGCCTCGGGCACAAGAGGGGTGTCGCAAGATCGGG